GTTCCAATTTTCTTAAGTGGCCTTAAATCGCCCAAAGTTACGGTGACTTAAGGCCCCAGAGTAGGCCTACACGGAATACCAATAAGATCCCATCATCTTCTCATTGACACTGCACCCCTATGTATATCCGGTTTTCCAAAGAAGTGCAAGACCACTCCTACTGTTTTGGAATAGTTATTGCCCGTCAACCAGTATCTCTTTCTGTTTGAAAACGCTTCTTTTTGGGAAAAAAGATTAGCCTCGAAGCACGTTAAAATTCCCGGCACCATCTTCCTCTCAAATTAATGTTTCATAATAATGTCTAGTTTCTGGTACTTTTTTTAATTCAGAACCTCAAAAGTCTTTGCTGGATGACTCTAAAGTTGTGTAGCGATTCGGTTTTTCGAGTTCATCTAAAAAAGGAATTTCGACGAAGTCTTCAGTTTATCAGATAACTAGCTTGACCATGCTACCTAAGAGAACGTGGAAAGGTTGAGATGTTAAATAAACTCGTTCTTATCCAACAAGGGGTAATATAGTGTGGTTTCAGCCTCGAACATTTTCTGTTTCATCTGTCCCTGAGATCACGGAGAAACCGTTTAGGGCAGTTTGCGTTATTGAGATAAAGAATACCGTTAAAATTGCGGTTGCAAAGTTTTGGAATTAAATTATTCACATAGATATGTCTTATTAGATATTTTGTTGTGCAGTATCGCTGAGTATTTTTACGAGTTGTGCCGTATTTGCCGTATTTTGTGGTACTCGGTAAGAACAACTCATCACGGCTTGTTGCTCATACGTTTAGTACGCTAGTACTCTAGTATTCGGTCCGGACATTTCATTACAGCGTCTTATTAGATATTTTGTTGTGTAGTATCGCTGAGAATTTTTACGAGTTGTGCCGTATTTGCCGTATTTTGTGGTACTCGGTAAGAACAACTCATCACGGCTTGTTGCTCATATGTTTAGTACGCTAGTACTCTAGTATTCGGTCCGGACATTTCATTACAGCTTGTTATTCATTTGTTTAGTGCGTTAGTACATTAGTACCTTAGTACCTTAGTACTTGGTACAAACAACTCATCACGGCTTGTTCTGAATTTGCTTAATACGTTAGTACGTTAGTACCTTAGTGCTCGGTAGGACAACTCATCACGGCTTGTTCTGAATTTGCTTAGTACGTTAGTACCTTAGTACTCGGTAGGACAACTCATCACCGCTTGTTCTGAATTTGCTTAGTACGTTAGAACGTTAGTACTCGCTACAGAACTCATCACAGCTTGTTCTGAATTTGCTTTATACGTTAGAACGTTAGTACTCGCTAAAGACAACTCATCACGGCTTGTTCTGAATTTTCTTAGTACGTTAGTACCTTAGTACTCGCTACAGAACTCATCACAGCTTGTTCTGAATTTGCTTAGTACGTTAGTACCTTAGTACTCTGTACAGACAACTCCTCACGGCTTGTTCTGAATTTGCTTAGTACGTTAGTACGTTAGTACTAGCTACAGACAACTCATCACGGCTTATTCTGAATTTGCTTAGTACGTTAGTAGTAGCTACATACAACTCATCACGGCTTGTTCTGAATTTGCTTAGTACGTTAGTACGTTAGTACTCGGTACGGAAAACTCATCACGGCTTGTTCTGAATTTGCTTAGTACGTTAGTACGTTAGTACTCGGATNTTCTCTTATTGTATTTTATTGTAGATTACACTTTGCAGCTTTTATTTAGAGTAAGAGATAATTTATTCCCATCGTAAAGTAAGTCGTATCTCAGCCGGCCCGGGGGCTGCAATGATTTTACTTCCTAATAAAGCTATCTCAAAGCTATCTGAACCACGAAACACACCTCAAATCAATTTCATACAAACCCAACACAAAAACTCGCGACAGGTAACATGGTGTTTGATAGTTCCTTTGACAAAAATCTTGCCCATCAATATTTTTACTGTGAGCACATGAGGAGGATTCAGTTATGATAACATACATGTATCAAACTTACATCTGACCATCTGTAAGTGCATAGGTATTAACTTAGTAAACTATACCACTGCCAGTCATTCAATGAATAGTTTGTGATCAAAGGTTAAAAGGAACCAGCTCCACTCTTTTAACAAGAAAAAAATTTTGGTGAATATGTCATAGATCTTCCCCATCAAGTGTTTGATCAGCTTTTAACATTCTTCGTCCTCTACTTCACTTTCCTGTCTCTTCACTTGAAGAGTGTTCTGACTCCAACTGATAGGGAAGATCTTGATCGACACACTCACAAATAAATTTTCTTCAGACAACAGCAATATAGCATCAGCAACAGTGAAGCACCACACTGCAACTGCATTGAGTAACCATTACATGTCATCAGCCCAGAGGGCACTGCCCACTAATCAAGATGGTGGCTTCAGGAAATTCAAAGTGCATGTAAGACCCAGTCCTTTGGAAAACGACACAAAAATCAGATCGCTTGGTAAGGAAATTTTTTAAAGCCAGATCTAGTGAGAAGTACATATGGAACATTTGAGCATTATTTTTTAAAAGAGTGAAAGTTCCCTTTAAAAAACTTAGTTTACTATCATGATAATACTGTTTCACCATCCCCTGCTACCATTAGCTTAAAAAGATCTACAGTTATGTAATAAATGAATCCTTTCATTCCCAAGATCTCATTAGTAATTCTCCTTATTACACGACTCGGGCAGTCAGAGGGCCAATAACTAAAATCAACCAATCAAAATGCTCCATTGCCAGTCAATACTCTCTCAGTACTGGACCGGGCACTGTCCCGAATGATACCGCACTTGTGTTCCTTTGAATTTCAGTCGTATAATAAATCTCTTATTAACCAAGCTGGCTCAGGACCGTACTGGAAGAATATCGGCCCTCGGTCTTTTATGTACGAACCTCGCTGCGCTCGGTCCGTACTGTCAAGACCTCAGGCCGATATT